TTTTTATTCAAATATCTAATCGATTCCACACATGTATATAAATGAAGGAAAAAGTTGTGTGGGTAGCTTGATATGATTATGAGCAGTGATAATTTGTTCTCGAAACGTAGTCATTAGTTAGTATTACTGTGTAACGCTGTGTGACTTATCAAAATAAAATCTTATCCATAATGGAGCTATACTCTACCACAGTGCCCAAGTTTTATACTTATATCAATAAAGGAATTCAGTAGCTTATTTGTTTAAAGTTTATACTTTCATCCACGTTGAGACCCTGAAATCACAAAATTTTACTATGGCAGTGGTTTTCACTTATCTGATTTATTCAACATAACATGCAACTAGACTTTAATAGTAGGAGCAGTCTGTCAGAGAGTCTTTTATTCGCAGTTGTATCAGACAGTTGCATCATATCGCAGTTTAGAAAGTTTACTACAGCAAATGTAATGATTTCAAATAGGGTTACAGGCATAGATGAAAAGAAACTAAACTACTTGCAAGTCGTTACCAGAGTTTGTCAACACAAAGTACCTGGGTAACCCTATTCAGGTTGGTAGTTACCTCGGTTCTAGTAGGAAGTTGTGACTAGTAGGGTTCAGCAGGTCGGATTAGAGGACAAACGCTGACCAGTGATGACATTCGCTAGTGGTTGTGCCATATCATGAATCGACAGATGCTGGAATTCATGGACTATTAGACCGGGTGCCAGTGGATTAATGGTCTACGAGCTCGCCGTGTAACAGGAAGGTCCTGGGTTCTAACTCCCTGTGGTGGGTGTGTACTAGTGAAGATTCCAAAAATAGGACGGAATAACTGTCCGGTACTTCCAAGTTTTCCAATGGTCCTCTAACCGATGTTGGTTCCTCATAAAATCCTGAAAAAATCCCATCCCTACAAACCAACACTTGAATAACAAGGAGGATTAGTGTGTGACCGTTGTAAGAAAGACTACATGATAGCCTTCCCCATCTAGCAGACGTTGGCTCAGACCACTATCTCGCACAAAAAACACTCCAAATCAAATTAAAAGCTTTCAAAGAAACAGGAACTGTAGACAGACCACAAGCCAACTTCACTACTCAGAAACTGAAGTTTCAGGCAACAAAGGACATCTTAATTGCAATCATAAGGAAAATGAGGAGACAAAAATCAACACTGGAGAAGTGACCAGCGTCAAAAAGCACTGGAACAGCCTGAAAGCAGTGTGAAGTCAAACCTGCGTGGAAGTTTTAGACAGGAAGAAGAGACAGGACAAACAGTGGCTCACTACAGATGCATGTAAACTAATAGAAGAAAGAAGGATGTTGAAACTAAAGATTATCCAGTACATCAACGAGCAACAAAACAGGAATTGAATACAAGCTACAATACACTGAACAAAATAGTAAAAAAGGTGCCAGAGGGGACAAAAGGCGATAATACGAAGCTATGGCAAGTGAAGCAGAACAAGCTGCAGGCAGAGGAGACCTCGCCACACTCTACCAAACAACTAGGATCCTATTGGGGAAGAGTTCAACACAAATTAAGCCAGTGAAGGATGACTATGGAAAGCTGATCACCAAAGAGGTAGGGCAAAGAAAACAATGGGTTGAAGACTTCAAAAGACTTCTAAATCGGCCGCCACCTACAGCACACTCAATAATACTAACAGAGGATGCAGAACTTCCGGTGAATATCTACCCCCGACGAAATCAGAAGTCCTGAAGGCAATCAAGATGCTAAAAACTGGAAAAGCAGTAGGGCCGGACTAAATCCCAGCACAGGGTTGAAAATGGAACCGGATGACATCACTACTGGAAAAGGTGTGGAAAGAGGACAAGGTACCCGCGGACTGGAAGAAGGGCTGCTTATTCAAACTGCCAAAGAAAGGAGACTTAAGTCAATGCAAAAACTGGCGCGGAATTAAGCTCCTGTCCATCCCAAGCAAAATACTAAGCCGCATCATCCTGGAGAGAATCAAACAAGCCAACCTGGATGAAAAACTTCGACCGGAACAGGCTGGATTCAGGAGAAACACGTCATACATCGATCAAATCCTCACACTACGGATCATCATTGAACATAGCTTAGAATGGCAGTCGGCTCTCTATCTCAACTTCACTGACTTTGAAAAGGCCTTCAGCGGACAGCGTCGATCGAGAGGTCAATTGGCAACTACTTCGCTGCTACGGGGTGCCATCGATAATTATACATCTCATCCAACAGTTATACGACAATGCTGAATGCCAAGTAATCCACAACAGGAAACTTACGGAACCCTTCAAAGTGAAGACGGGAGTAAGTCAAGGCTGCTTACTATTTCCAATGATTTCCCTGATTGCGGTAGACTGGATAATGCAACAGACAACAGGCAGTGAGGAAACAGGCATAAAATCGACCCTCACAAAAAAATTGGAGGATTTGGACTTCGCCGAAGATATATGTCTGATTTCTCAAAAACTGAATGATATGCAAGTGAAAAACAACAAGTTGGCAGAAGAAGCATCCAGAGAAGAGGCCTTCAGGTAAACATAGGTAAAACAGAGGTGATGAGGATTCCTGGCCAACACAAACAGCAACTACAACAAGAGACAACAATCATAATATATGAGAGGATTCTGAAAGAAGCAACCTCCTTTACCCACCCACCTACCTGAGAAGCATCGTTTCGACTACAGGAGGACAGAACTGATGAAGATATCAAGGCGAGTATCGGAAAAGCAAGACAAACTTTCATTTCTTTCAAGTCTGTGTGGAGGTCAACAGCACTCAGCATGAATGATGAGATGTTGATTTCAACTCCAATGTGAAATCAGTGCTACTTGTTATACTGATCAGGGACTTGGCGCGTCATAAAGAGCACCTCAAACAAACTACAGACCTTCATCAACAGTTGTCTTCGCTCAATACCACTCAAGATCAGATGGCCGGCCAGAAAAGATCAGCAACAGGGATCTCTGGCAACCAGCGAACCAACCGGGAACCGATTGTGCAGGGAGAAATGGAGATGGATAGGCCATACTCTGAGAAAACCATCAAGTGATATCACACGCCAGGCCATCACTCGAGTGGGACCCAAATGGGAAGCGACAAGTTGGTTGTCCGACGGTGACGTGGAGGAGGTTGTGCAAAGAGGAGACGAAAGCATGTGGACAGACGTTGAGCCAGGTGAAAACATTACTGGAGAACCGGACGCAATGGATACAATGTGGCCTAAATATTCCACCGCCAATATAATAATTTATAGATCCAAATTACATAGACATTTCATGGACTGAAATCATGTGATATGATAGTTGTGTACTTTTGTGTGAACTATTGTTTTCCTGTATATGATAGATGTTCATATGTATTATTGTTTTTAATGAGAGATGACTACAGATTGAAATAAATGGCATAACGCATCACATGTTTTACGTAATGATAACATAAATCGATGTATCCTAATAGCCTTAATTTGCACTAATTAATGCAAAGATCAGGGCATGCAAAGTTAACAACCTGTTTATTGTTTTTAATAAATATTGCCCACCAGAGTTGGCCTAATAGTTTCACAAAAATTCGGCGTCCATAGAGAAGTAGACACCAACAAAAAGTCATAGGTGAAGAAATCTCCGCGATATTGGAACAAACAATCTCAGTGTTCTGCTTCTACGGGAGGTTAACTGTTTTCCAATATAATTAGCATGATAAATGACTATTAAATTACCACAAAACGTCAATCAGTGGATTTTACTCAAAGGGTTACCAACCAACACCACGTTTGCATATATCATCCAGAAGTAATGGGTTTCAGAAATGTCTGAGAGTTCTATTTCCTCCCAGGCGAAGCATGTTAAGTAAGAAGGAGAAATCAATCAATGAGATTGTGCATTTACACTGATTCACATCAATAGGATATGTGTTACGCATGCCTAGCAGTCGCCTTCCTTGTAAATAAACTTCGGGATGTAAAACTTACGTACGGGTTGTTAAATGAAAGCATAGCCTCATTTCATGAAGTCTTTGATTATTTATTTTGACCCAAGTAGTTAAGTATATCTGGATTACCCGAAACACTAAGAACCAGTAGATGGTGACTGTTAGTGACATGTCTCAAAATTGCTCTCAGTGTTGCAGATCCATTCACTCTTTGTGATTATTGTTCACATTATACATTACTATTCATTATCGATTCTTGGGACCTCTCTTCTCTACCTTTATGGGAGTTTTTATGAAGTTTGGCAACTTGGACTACTGTATTTCTGTACAAACTTCTAGGTTGAAAATTCAATTCATCTTTTTTTGGATTGCAGCTTGATTTCACGCAGTCCCTTTTCTTTAGTAGATGTAAGGAATTTTCAGCATGTGATATCGGTAGCCCAAATTTCGCAGGCCAACCATTGATACCAGGTGTGTCTCTGCAGGAGATCGAATCCCGGACCATGTGAATGGTCGACGAGAGGCCTAACCACTGTGCCACAGACGCACACAAGTATTGGTTGGTAGGGATTTGGTTGATTGGCTACAGGAATACTTGAATATCAATGAGATGCTCACTGGCGACTGGCCCTATTCAGGTAAATAGTCACTTGGGATTCTAGTGGTAAGTCGTGATCAGCAAAGGGTGCAGCAAGTCGGGTGTGAGGACAAATATTCGCCGAAGACATTGGCTAGGGGTCGCGCTATATCGTGAATTGACAGAAGTTAGAATTCATGGGCTGGGAGTTGAATCGGATCCCGGTGGCTTAATGGTCTACGAGGTCGCCTTGTAACCATAAGGTCCTGGGTTCTAGGCTTGGCGGTGGATGCGTACTGCTGAAGAGTCCCAAACTAGGGACGGAGAACACAGCTATCCAGTACTTCCTGCAGGTTTTCCGATGGTTCTCTATCTAATATTAGCTCATGATGAAATCCTGTAACCAATCAATTCATTTCAGTTGGATTATATTCAATGCATTTATAAGTGTCATAGTATGCAAAAAGAATAAAGCATAAACTAGGCATTAATAATAAGATTAACCCTGTGTTATTTCACATACCCTTATCAGTTATATGCAGATTTGAATCATCAGTTTTATATGCATTACTATTCACATTGTTAGAATTGTTTGTTAATTCATTTGCGTGTATTCGTCTGAAAGCTTCTTGTACTTCATAATAGGCATGTGTATACTGTAGATAATTTGTTGGTGGACGTCCAGTTAACTCCTATATTGATTATTACACAAAGACAGAGAGAGACAAAAATAATAATAATAATTCATAGGATGGATAGAACTTGAAAAAGGGTGTGCAATTATAGAAATATACATTTCAAATAAATATAGCTAGATCAATAATGCAACGTTTTCTGACTAAACAGCACAAAGAAGAACTTAAACTTTTGACGCATAATAATAATGATATACTATTAGCACGCCCTGACAATGGTATAGGTGTTGTTATTATGGATCGTAAAGATTACATCGATAAAATGTCACATCTACTTTCAGACAGCAGTAAATTCTCGAAACCGAACGAGAAAAACAAAACGGAATTAATTGAGAAACAACTTACCGAAGCTTTAAAGAGAATTAAGAACAATCGTCTCATTCGTGAAGAACTGTACGAAAAGATCAGACCAACAGGATCTCTAATACCAAGATATACAAAGCTAGCCTTCCCCTCCGCACTATCTTGGATATGTCTGGATCATCTTATCATCCAGTAGCTGGGTGTTTAGCTGAAATCCTCGAACCTGTCAGGGGACAAATATCTAATCATTCCCTTCAGGACACCTTCGAATTTGTTGAATGTATACAGGATAAAAATGCGTCGAATAAACATATGTTGCCTTCGGATGTAGAATCCCTATTTACGAACGTTCCATTGACAGATACCATATGTTTTATATGCAAATATATTGAAGAAACAAATTGAATACAGGGATACCCATTACAGATCTGGAAGAACTACCTCCGAGATGTACATTGAATGTTCAGTTTACTTTCAATGAATCAATCTACAGACAGAAGGATGATATTGCAATGGGTTCTCCCCTGGGTCCTCTCCCTGCAGACTGTTTTATGTCTAGTCTAGAAAATGGTTAGTTGAAGCCTACAATCCAAAGCTTTCAAATGTGTAAAAGGTATGTAGATGACACCTTTATTATTTGTAATAGTGATTGTAACTTGAATAATATATTAAACGTGTTTAATGATTGCCACCCTGCTATAAAATTCACAATCAAAATAAAGAAAGAGTCTAGCATTCATTTCCTCTATGTGAACTTATCAAGGAGGACCAATGGAACTCTGAAGAGATCCATTTATCGGAAGCTGTCGTGAAATGGTCAACTGATAATTTCTACAGTTAGGTACCCATTGGTCGAAAACGAAACCTGATCCGGTCGCTTGCCACTCGCATTCGGTGCATATGTAGCCCTGATACTGTGGAAGATGAGTTATATCTTTTGAAGAAAATCCTAATAGAAAATGGATTTCCACCACGTTTTATAGATAAAAATACACATTCAAATCCTATAAAACGTGACTCATCATCCGTATCCGAGAAAATACTTTACCTGAGCTTGGAATTCAAAGGTGACTCAGCTTCCGATATCATGAAACGAAGAATATCACAATCCCTGAAAAGAACATTCCCTGATGCATCTCTGAGAATAGCCTTTACTAGTCGACCATTACTATCCAATAACCTGAAGGACAAGATCCCGCTGTTGACCAACTCTATGTGTGTTTATCAGTCACCTGCTCGTGTCGAGCTAGGTATATCCGTCGTTCAACTTTAGTTTTATCCAGGAGAGTGCGAGAACAATATCCTGCATGGTTGTTATGAAAAGGTGGAAGTAGAGCAATAAGAAGTGCGATCATTGAACATCTGGTCGATAATGATCACCATATCTCTATAGCCTCCGCCTTTAAAGTCATCTACAAGGGGAAAAGTAATTCACCAAAATCACTACGTACCCAACTCATCTGTATTACTGAAGCTTTGGCTATTGAACGAAACAGAAAAGCCAGAAATCTGTGTACAGAAAAACAGTTCGTTCAACCCGCTCTCCAAATTTCATGATCCTAATCCCTCTATGCTAAAGTATGATAATCCCTAATCATATTTTGCCTCTACCAATTTTTCGTTTTTTTCATTTTGTCTATTCGATTTGTATACCCTTCTTTCATTACGTCAACTGTTACTACTATTACTATTCTCACTTTGAACTGTCCCCGGTATTGTTTCATTTGTTACGCTTGTCATTCTAAATCACTTCGTTTTTTACAGCAACGCTAAATTCTATGCTCTCATATTTCACACAATACTATTACGTAACGTTTTTATTTCATTCGATTTGTCTACTAATCCTATAATTGCACGTGTTTTTCAAGTTCTGTCCATCCTATGAATTATTCTAAAGAGTATATTGATGATATATTTGAGTATATAACACACTGAAATTGTCCATACATATAACTATTTGTATTTCTTAATGTTCATATAACTTAGCAACACGCTAATTTCCATAGTCATCAAATATAGTAATGTAAATAGATAGTAAATTACGATAAGAGTAAACACAGGTGTGCAGCTAAAAATCTATTAATACTTCATTCATATCATCTTATCTTAACATTATCAAATTGTTTCGATGAATTTTATTAATTTCTAAAAGCATAATTTTTCAACCAATATTCAAAGATGTGAAGAAATTATCAGTTGAACTGTAGAAGATTAGATCATTTTATTCATTGTTGAAACAGAATTTCATTAATTCGCATTTTTTTTTGCATTTTGAGAGGAACGTCCCCGATCTTTTTGAAGTTTCACAACTCTAGTGCTTTCTTTTTCTCTATCATACTATCAGTTACTAAATAAGACGAGGTTTAGGAGTCAAATCCGGACGAGTTATTTAATTCAGCTGGAAGTTTATTAACTAAGCCTCCAACTGATAGAAAGAAGTGACCAATATATAGATCGCTAGATTTTCATGATTACTTATTGGAGAACTTAATTTTGAAATAAAATAAACTGATGACCTATTCAAAATAACATAAAATCAAAATTAATGTAAGTGTAAAACTTGAGCACTGTGGTAGTAAGTAATTCCATATTAGTTTGTTTATTAGATGTTTCACACAGTGGGAAAACAGTATTATTTACTGGATGACACGGTTACGAACAAAATTTATTGTGGTTCATAATCATACCAATCAATTATAATCACACGACTTCGAAACTTGAGTTTTATAGTTCTCTTTGTCCTCTCCTATTTGTCGACGTCATCGGGGTAGTAGAATTTTCCAGATATCTGGCTGGACAGGTGTTGAATCATTCCTGCTACATGTATTCTCTTTCAGTTGATTCGATAAGTGCAAATCTTCTGTCATCAATCTCTCACTCCCTCCACCCTACTGTTACATTAGATTTTAAAACTGTCATCCTATCTCATCCCATCCTATTGTATGGTTGTGTGTAACTGCATGTAGTGAGTTCTATAGCTGAACTATTCTCTAGATTTCTTATCATATTTGGGTCAACCAATCTAGATTTTGCTAGGTTTTTGTGTGTCGGCTAGTCTGACTGCTCCTGTTTTACTACTTTGACCTACGTATTTGACCTGACAATCATTGAAGGCAGGGGATTAGATAAACCAAATTGTTTTGTTTTAAAGGCTCTACAGGATTGATCCCTTAACCAACAAAGCTCGTTTCTAATTGAGTTTGTGGGTGGTTTGAATGTCAGCCACTTTTATTCCTGACTTGTTGAGAATTCTGCGTAAGGTGGTTTCCGAGGTTCCTTCCTTGTATGGAATTACTGTTGATGATTTAGATTCCTTATTGTTGATGTCATCATTAATATTATTATTTTTATCACTACTATTATTATCATTATTAGTGTTATCATTATTATTATCATCATCACTATCGCTACGATCATTATTTATTTTACTTTCACATTTCCCTGCGTATTTCCTGACTAGTTTATCCGGGTAATTATTAAGTTTCAGGCCTTCTTTTATATGTATCACTTCCTGTCTTAGATTTTCCTTTGCACTACTTAGTTTTTGTGCTCTTTCAGCTATAGCACTACATGCAGTCACACAAAACCATATAATAGGATGGGATAAGATGACAGTTTTAAAATCTAATGTCACAGATTGGAGGGAGAGATTGATAACAGAAGCTTTGCACTTATCGAATCAACTGAAAGAGAATACATGTAGCAGGAATGATTCAACACCTGTCCAGCCAGATATCTGGAAAATTCTACTACCCCGATGACGTCGACAAATAGGAGAGGACAAAGAGAACTATAAAACTCAAGTTTCGAAGTTGTATAATTATAATTGATTGGTATGGTTATGAACAATAAATTTTGTCCGAAACTGTGTCATCCAGTAAATAATACTGTTTCCTCACTGTGTGATACATCTAATAAACAAACTATTATGGAACAAAATCAGAATTTCTGTAAACTTAAGACGTTAACAAAACAGCAGTGAAACCCACACAGAAAAAAAGTGAAATACATATGCAAATAATTGTATATTCAAATCCCCGAAATTCATATGAGTTTTAGATTTTTAGGTACCCATAAGGACAAGAAAATGTGCGCCCTCTGATTTCTGGAATCTAACAAACAAGACTAGATTACACATAGACTTTAGACCTTGTAGGGATTTTGATTAATTTTATTGCAAATGCCAATCACAGAGTCATTAAAAACTAAGGATTTTTGGTTGGCTGTTTTGTCCAAGTTTGAGACTTGTCAGGATTGCGCGAAGTGACAAAAGTAAGAATTCATGGCATTGTTGAATTCCAACCCAGTGGATGTATGGTTAATGGGCTACTACTGTAAGTTGAAGGTTTTGAGTCTCATTCCTAGTGGGATGGTGGATACATACTACATTATATGCACAAAGTAAGAGAAACGCATCAATGAACTTAATTTCTCAGTGTCACTTGTGGCATTTTGTTTATTGTGTAAAAGGTTTACATAGAATTAGAATATACTAGGAAGTTGAGCAATTTATGATAATATTTTAAGATTGCATTTGTAATTCGACCAGAAACAGTAAAAACATTGAATATTTAATGACGATTTCATGAAATTTCAATGGAACAACTCTTACAGGACAATTTACTTCTAAACGTTGAATCTTTTCATGTAAAAGACAAATTAATTGAGACTTAGCTTTCAATACCAAATCTTGA